TTTTGTATTTTATTTAGAGACAGGGTCTCACTGAGTTACTTAGTGCTTCACTTTTGCAGAAGCTGGCTTTGAACTCAAGATCCTCCTGCCTCAGCCTCCTGAGCTACTGGGATTACAAGTGTGTACCACTGTGCCCAGCTCTACCACTTAGTTTTAATCCAAGCCCTTCACTTCGTTCTATTTTCTTGTCTGTCCAGAAAATGATTAGTTCTTTCTTTTGGTCTTTAAGTAATCTAAGACAGAAAGAGGCTAGAATAGCCTGAGATTATACAGGGAAGAAGATACAAAAATCAGGAGACTCAGAGCAAAACCTGACAAGGGGCACCCTCTGGAAGCCTAAGCATGCTCTCTTTCTCAATTAGGGTCTTATTACAAACATCTGTGGTAAATCTTTGCTCTCAAGTACTGAGAATAATTTAGTTGATTTAATCTTCAAAGTTTAGACAGGTACACAATTAGGAAACTATTTTTCTAAGTTTGCAACCAGTGAGGAGTAAAAACATTTACTGAGGGCCTATTATGTGCTAGGTGCTCACAGGTCTCTGATGGGTGGAGCCCTCAGGAAACAAAACACATTTTATCAGAATGGACATAGCATCAAAAATAGTGTGTGTCCACCCTCACAAAAAAATATAAATAAGTAAATAAATCCCAGTGCAGCACTCTTTCTTGGAAATGATTAAACTCAGAAATCCAGATATAGTGATTTCATCTTTTTGTGGATGCAAGAATACACAAATGCTGCCTGAATGTTTCAGGATTCATGAAGACACCATTGCATAACAAGAAATTTAAAAATTTAATCCAGCAACAAATGAAAAAAAGGGGATAAGAATATTTACTGTTCTACAAAAGTCCTAGGGACCAAGTTCATTAAATTTACTCATTTGTCAAACTGAATAAATAAGTCATGGTCTGTCTCACCTTGGAGGTAACATCAATTCCGGTGATGAAGCTGCCAGCCTTATTTTCATATCTTCTGCTTGTGTCCTAACACAAAGAGGAAGGGTGAGAAATTCTGAAAGTAATGGAGGAAAAATCCATGATAAAAGGCAGCCTAACAACTGCTTCTTTTTGAAAAGTCATTCTTTTCAGCAACCTTTCCCTAAACCCTGACAACCCCTTATTAAGAAGACAATCCCCTGACTCCACAGTAGTAATCAACCACTCTTAATAAGAAGTATTTTCTAGATCAGAGCCTGTTCAAAATCTCAAGTACCTTTATCAATTGAAAGTACATATGTAAATGAAAATCTAAAGGCTTTTGTGAAAAATGTTAAAGATGAGATAGAGTCACTAAACTCCTCACCCTAGACAGGACAGATTTTCCACACTAGGCCACCAGGTGGAGCACAAACCTCCACCAAAATGTAGAAAACCCAACCTTCACTTAAAACTCCTGGGAAAACACACACTGCAATGAAAGGATGGGGTAAGTCTCAAGGGTGACTTTCACTAATTACATTATATGGTACAACTTTGACTTGTCTAGGCCTTTTCCGTGATATATGCCTATCTCCTAACCTCTTTTTCTGTTCTCCCCTTTGTGCTACAGAAGTTAACATTTCCCCAAGAAAGCAATCTTGTTCCTATCTCAGACCCTTTGTGTTTGCTGTTGCCCCTGTTAGGAATGTTCACTTCCACTGTGCACATGATTGGCCCCTTTTTGTCATGTAGGGTTCGGCTTAATTGTCACTGTCTCAGTGGACTTCCCTGACCATCTTATCACATTCTGCTTTATGTTCTGCACACCCCCCTGGCCCCTGTACTATTTCATTAGCATATTTTTTTCCTCAAAGCATTAACACTAGTGGAAATCATTTATTTGCTTATGTCCCTACTAGAACACAAACTCTAGGAGGAAGTCTGATCTTGATCTAGCACATAGGACTATGCCTAGCACATGGTGGGGGCTGCATAAAATGAATGAAGGGATGATACTACCTATCCAACAACTGCAGTTATTTTTAAATGACATAGAGTAGCAACTGTCAAAACGTCATGTTGTTACCATGGTCGTTACTGTTGTCCATCACTAGCTACCCTACCTTAGCCTTTTTCCATAACTCACATAACTTCAGTTTAAAAGCAAGACTTGCTGACATGCAGGGGTTTATTTGGTTTTTGTTTTGTTTTGTTTTGTTTTGTTTTTTTCAAATAGTTCATATTATGTGTGCAACTAAGTCATCCAGACTTGAGACCTGATCTAAGAACCAGACATATAACTACAAAACCACAAGCAAAACACCACTCACCATCCCCGCTGTGGTAAAAGAGACCAAGGGCAAATGCTGGTCCCTGATCATTTGATTTCATTGCAAGTGAGATGCTGGGACGACGGTAGAGGTGCTACAAGGCAGAGGAGGTGCGCGGGGGCAAGACGACCCTCAAGTCACAACAGCAACATACTGTTTGCTGCTGACAAGCTCAGTCCTCGCAAGAGAAAGAGCGAGTGCCATGTTTAACAGACACCAATTCTACCAGAGCGGGACCCACAGGGAGACCTGGATGCCGGCGCCACCTCACAGTTCCCTCTGGATCGCTCTGGTTGGGTTCCCGCCCGGGACTCCCCTTTAATGTGGACCCCAGTCTCTCCTCACTCACTCCCCCGCACAGCCTAGCTCCGAGGGGCAGCAAAGGGTAAGTCCTCAACTCTCTCTCGGCTCTCCCCCACCTCCTCCAGTCCTCTCAACACCCATTTCCGGGCGCCCCGGCGTCCTTTCTCTTGCTCGGGGTCTCTCACGCCTGGCCCCCCGCCCGCCGGCGCTCGCGCCTCTC